AAGTTTCCCATTATTGTTAGGACTTTTGCAATTGAAATACCATTTTTGATTTTGGACTTTTACACAGCAAAAGAGTCTGTTATTGCAATGTTAATAAGCATGGTTTTGTACAGATAAGTTATGTAGATATATCATTACAGCCAGAACATTTATTCATCAGTCTTGTCCACACATACATTTTGTATTTAATGTGTAAGTGTTTAGTCTACCTGGACCGATGAACCTCTCATCACTAAAGCGTGCTGGTCAAAGTCTCTCCTGTCATATCAGACAAAGAGCCTGGCTAATGAAGGAACTTGGGCATTGCTGCCCCCTTTTTTATTTTATTAACAGGCATGTACCTAATTACAAATTACAATTATACACAAATTTTGGATTTAATATCCAATATTGCTTTTTTTTATGAACTATACAAGATTGTTAAAAAATGTGTTATTTGGAAACAGTAACAATTATTACTGGTGGTAGAAAAAATTTTAAGAAAATCCAAGATATGCATATTCCAGGACACTGAAGAGTAACTGAATTTTGCTACTTGCCTATATGTGACTCAATAATGAAGTAATGCAATTAAATTTGAATTTGGTATATTTCATGATATTTTGAAATATTTCTTAAAATGTACTGATCTGCGAAGAAATTTGTCAAAAGTAGATTAAGATATTAATGAGCCTTCAATTCAATAAAGCCACAATTCCATTTCTGCATTTTAGACTAAAAAATATCCTTGAAAACATTGTTTTATAATTAACCTTTTTAGAAACATATGCAATTTTGTTTGTTTCATAGTGGAAGTATACAATATTCCTTTACTAATAAAGGTACCTAATTAAGAAAAAACTCTTTGGATTCAGCATATCACTAGCAGTATTATTTTTCTTCTGTAGAATCAATTCCCTAATATCTAACAGAGATGTAGCTGATATACTTAAGATTATACAATATATCATTACATTTTTATTTAGACTATAAATAGAAAATGAGAAAGTCAAATAATTTCATTACATCAATTTTCTATGAAGTTTTGATATTTGAAAGTTTTTTTAACAAAAGAAAAATTTAAATCACTCTTAAACTTAATTACAGATAAGTGTTCTTCTTAAAAAATGGGTATAAAAGTTTTTTATTTGATAATGCTGGTACAATTACCATGAAAAATATTTGACTTCTGTCTCATAAGACAAATAGTCTGCTATAAACGGAGGAAGTTGGTTTATATTATTGTCGCAATCAAATATTATACTGCATAAATTTCCTTTCTTTACCCAAGACTAACATGCCTAAATCACAGAATACTAAATTATTATTTAAAATAATTGTAAAAATGAAATATAAAGAAACTAGTTGAAAATTAAGCATGCAATGCTCTCTTTGATAATACATATTTTCTGTATGCCGCACACATGCAACATATAGGGAGGGAAATATACATGAATATTTATAGAAGTACTTTTAATTAAATGAAATAAAATTAATGATAAAATACACATTTCTCAAATGCAATATTAACTTACAAGGTTCCTTTGAATATAGATGTTAGATAATTATTTTTATGCACATGACTAATGGCCATCAACTACTTTAATTTCATCTTCATATATTTGTAGTTGGAAAAAAGCAGAGAACTTAAAGGGTTTAAGGAACATTATCCCTAAGTTAAATAGTTAATTTAATAACAGTTTAATTACTACCATCACAACATTTTATTTCCTTTGAAATAATTAAATATTCCTTTGTTCTAGCATTAAAAGCGATTCTTCTGTTGTTTTTAGTTTCTCTATCTCAGCGTAAAATTTATTCTTAAAATTAGTTATACCACATATTTTGCCACCCCTGAAAATACCTTAATTTGAAGCCATCTGAAAAGTGCAAGTGCATATTTTCAAATTAATTGGAAGCATATTGTTGGTCTGCTTTGTTTTCTTTAATTTGAGTTGTTTGATTTTGAAAACAATCTATTGAGCTCTTGAAATTAAGTAGCCAGTTTTTGCATTTCAAACAAGAACTGAACAATTCTCACCCTTTCCCTTGCCCTACTGAAAAATAACAAAGAGAAAAGATAAGAAGAGGGAAGGAAGGAGGCAAGGGGGGTGATGTAAGGAAAGAGTAAAAAAGAAAATTACACATATTAATTGGAATAATTTGCTAACTCAGTAACAAGACTAGAATTAATGCTATAGGGCAAGAAGTTGGTGTATTAGATTAAGGTCTTCAATTCTAACCTTTCCATATTATGTGTGGATAATTTCATTACACACCAGCTTGATTTTCCTATTGCTGTTGAGGGAGTAGTGGTGATGGTTTGGATGTCCAGGACATTCATAAAAAATTTCCGCTTCACATATTTGAAGGTGATAATCTTATCTAAAAAAAGATGTTTCAAGTATGATATTTATGCTAAACTTGATTAACTCATAACTTCAATCAATAGTTTAGCTAAAATGATTTTGACTATTAGCATATAAATTATCTGCATTTACATAGAATATATTTAATTTCTTTGAAATAATTTAAGTATTTACACTATAATCATACATAGATAAAAATAAGATCTTACAGTATCTACCTGGAAATTATTTGCATGTGATTATGCAACAATACCAAATAGAATGAGCACAAAGAATAAGCTTTGTTTGCCCACAAATTTTAATAGATGCCTGAAATATTACATACTGTTGTTCTCCAAAATTCTATGGGGAGAATATGCAGGGCCTCTTCATCTGATCATATACCACTGATATACCTACCCAATTTAATTACTGATTCAGTAAACAACTTAAGAATCAAATATTAAAAAACACACAACTTATGCTCTATTGTATGTTACCATACTGGCGGGAAACCATGTATAAGGAGAAAAATAATGCACTTTTAATTTTATCCACATCTCATGATTCTACATGTTAAAATGTTTTCAAGTTTATTAGAGAAATGATGTTTATTTTTATGCTCTTAATACAGTAGGGAATATATAATTTAAAAATTGGAAGTTACCTCTTTCGATAAATAATATAATTATTATTTTTGAGATTAAAAAAGTGTTGGATCTTAGGAACATAAGTATAAATAAACCAGCTAAAGGGGGTACATGTGACAAGATTATATACTATCATGTTAGTATGAAATATTATTTTGTAAATCTTTGAAATGTATCAACAAACTTTCTTTGGAAGCTACGTCTTTAATTTCATGCAATTCTTCTCTCCTCCTTTTTATGGATAATTAAGGGGGGAAAAACCTAGTTAATGGAGGATTCCACCTATGTTTTATACACCATCACCGCATCTACGTATAACAATACTAAGGAAATGATTTGACATTTTAAAAAGAAAAATAACTCCCATTCTGAAGAGAAATTAATGAAAACCTCAATTGTGAAAGCAAAGGCTACTGTTTAGTTTTCTTTCCTAATCTTGAATCTAACATGGAAGAGGTAGATGAAAAGTAAAGGATACATTTTTAACTTTTCATGATATCACATGACATTATTAATCTAGTCCGCTACCCTTTGGAAAAAAAATGGAAGAAAAATGCTGCATAGAATGGGGATAGTTTATTTCTCTTGGGTGATGTAGTGCAATCTCAGGAATGAGATTATGAGGAATACATATAGTCCTCAGGGAAACTATTACCACCTGTTCAACCTGAATTGAAGCAGTTGTTGCCAATTTACTCACGGGTGAATGCTGCCTCTTTGTGGCAGATGGCCATGGGAAGTGTTTTTTAAACATAAAGTTCCTGAACGGCCCTTCACGTATACATTTATACATCATGTATACATCTATTGTATACATTTCAGTAGAGATTATGGGAAGACCCATCAATAGCAATGAAACACATGGCTCTTTAAGTTTCAGATGAATCCATTCACTTCCTACCCTTAAATACTAATCTCAATTCATTGGCAAACCTTATTCAGAGGTAAACGACTTATACCGACCTATATTTTGAACATTTAGGATATAGACCAACTTGAGATAAAGTATCCGTCATAACTGTTGAAGATAATCTTATGCAAGTAAAACTATAGAACTGTAGAAATTTGTGAACTAAATAAATAATATTGACATACAAATACGTAATATTGGAAGAAAAACAAATACGCAATATCTTACTTACCATATCCCATGTATTAGGTGAAAACTTCAGTAAGGAAAAGAGGTATACAATTAAAACTTCATTAGGAAACACATGAAATGACATATTTAGAAAAACATAACTCCATAAACCACCACAGTCATGATTACATGTATATATTTTTGTATGTGTTAATTAAGGGACATTTTTTTCTGTACGGAATAAATTAGGTAGTATGTCCTACATTGTTAATAATGGAGATTCAGTCAACCACACACAGCTAATTCTTTTGCACTTTAAGTAATCATTACTTCAATCCTTCATATTTGACATCGTTATCAAGTGTTTATTCAGAAACTATTTAAAAAATTACATGTGCTGGGATACATATAAGAATGTAACAACAGTAGCCCCATCTTACAGAGATCTTGTTCGTGGGTATCATCATTGCTTGCTGCCCAGGGGGATCAAGACATTGTGTAGGGATTTGTACAGTCCATCATTTGGTCTTCTGAGGTGCTAGTACACGTGGATCTGTACAAATGCAATGGGGTTTGGTTAAACAATCACACATCGGCTACAATAGTAGTCAAATCAATACATTATTTTGGTTGACTAATAAAAATACTTCGAAATCTTCTCTAATAAAACCAGAAACTTGCACCCGATTCTCCCCTGAATGGCCCGATTAATTGCCCTCATTTTTTAAATATATTGGGATACGAGCAGGTGTTTTTTTTTTTTTAATTACATATCCAATTGTGTGGGTTGCATTGGCTTAAAAATTTTGTCATTAAGTTCTCTATATTTTTAATGGTTTAAAATGCCTTCCTGATATCACTTCAGTTTTGGAAATGCAGCTCCTAATATAGTGCGACACCTCTGTGAAAATCATAGGCTAAACAGTGAAGGAAAGAGAAATGCTAAATGTGCATATAAAAATAGGTGCTACAATAAAATATTTGTATATTTCATCAATAAGTTATTTTGACTAATCAATTATGGATCATATAGCTCTGTAATTTTAATGATTTGTCCACATCTATTGTGATCCTTTTGAGATCACAATACTTTTGTTTTTTAATTCAAATGTCCAGAATGCATACAAACACATCCTTTTAACAGAAAGAAAGGAAATGAGAGAGGAAGACGACGAGGAGGCAGAGAGAGGAAGGGAGTAGGAGAAAGAGGAAAAGGGAGAGAATGAACTTGCTATTAAAGTTGGGGTGTGCTAACCTCTCCACAAAAGCCATTTAGACCCACCCATGGCTTCAAGGGGGAGAAGGGGAGGGGGAGGGGAGCAAAAGAGAAAGGGCAGAATCTATGCGCTGCCATCTTCCACCTTCTTAGCACTTTCAACTACAAAAGTGACCGAGGCCTTTGACAAGTCACCCGCGCAGCAAATCGCTTTCCAAAAAGCCCTTCTCGCCTCCCCCACACGCATGAGAAAGTGATGTGCCCAGTTTACACCAATGTTTCCCCACGTGTAAAATGAAAAGGAAATTGCACACCCTTCCAGTGTCTTCCGCTGAAGCTGAGAATCTCGTGCCAAGGCACTTCACTCTAAACGTTGAAACAACACAAGTAACCAAAGGTGTTCACGTGTGTATCGGCTTGCGTGTTTGTTTGAAATGCAAAAGCTCCAAGGGAGTTTCTTTTACTTTTAGAACTGGCTAAATGTGGTCTGTTTTTCCAGCACTTCGAGGTAGTCCGGCTCAACGTTTAGTTTTGCTTTTAACTCCAGATATTCGTTCCGGTTGGGTTCTACAAAGACAGCACTGGGGGGGCTGTAGAGCACCGGTTCCCGCAGCCTGCTGTCCGCGGCCCCCGGGTGCAAATACTGGTGGGGGCGCCTCAGGTCGTAGTTCGGGGAGAAAGTATAAGCAGCGGGGCTGCAGGGGAATTTGGGATACTCCGGGAGGCTGTTGCCCGCGGGGGTGGTGGAGCAGTGTTTGTCTGGTTCTAAAATGCCCCTGTAAAAGCGGTCGGCATCCTGCACCGGCGACAACAGGTCCTCCCGGGGCTCAATGGTGCTGACGCTATAGGCGGGGCTCCGCAAGTGGTGGCTTTCCCGCCTGTCCTCCTCCGCCGGCGGCAGTTGCAGCTGCGGCGGAGGCTGCTGCTGGGGCTGCTGGGGCGGCGGCGGCGGCGGCGGCGGCGGCGGCTGCTGCTGCTGCAGGTGGTGGTTGCTGCTGTAGGTGACCTTGAGCTCGTGCAGGTCTTTGTAATCCTCCACGGAGTTGCCCTCCCGGGAGCGGTAAATGGGGTTTTTGCACATGTGGCCCAGCGGATGGGGGATGTACTCGTACACGTGGCCCGCGGGCGTCTTCACCTTGGGCAGCGAGGGCCCGCGGTGGTGCACGTGTGCGTGCGGGTGGCCGCCGGCGCCGCCGCCGCCGCTGTACACGCTGTACTGCATGTTGAAGGAGCTCACGTCGGAGTTATTTGTGCTGGTGTGGTCGCTCTGGTTCTTCTTCCTGCGCTTCATCACCAGCACGAAGAGCCCAGCAGCCACAAAGACGGACATGATGAAAACCAGCAGCAGGCTGAGTATCAACACGGACAAGGGCACCGAGGACGCGCCTCCGCCGGCGCCCAAGCCCGCAGGGGCCCCGGTGCTGTTCAGCCGCACGGTCGGGGTCACCGCGCTGGTCCTCGAGGGGAACTGGAGGGCGGAGGGCGTGGGCGTGGAAACCACCACATCCGAGTAGTCTGGGCACAGCAGCTCCGACTTAATGGCGCGCATATCTGTCTCCGCGAACTTCTTGGGCGCCTTGCAGATGACCTCGTCCACCAAGACGCCCACTTTGAGCTGCTCGACCCACAACTTCATGCCCACCACGTCGCAGGTACAATCCCAAGGGTTGTCATGCAGGTCGATTTGGATGAGTGACTTCAACTGGTCCAGGACGCCACTCACCGGCAAGGAGGTGAAGTGGTTACTCCTTAGGTTCAGCCTGAGGAGGGTCAGGCTGGAGAAGACGCCAGAGGGCATGGTCTGCAGGAGGTTGTTATTCAAGAATAGCAGCTGGAGGTTGGGGACGGGATCAAAAGTCCCAGACTGAATTTCGCGAATGAGATTATATTGGAGAAAGAGATACTGCAGGCTCTGGAGCCCGTAGAACAACTCTGGGCTCAGCCTCTCAATCCTGTTGCCATTTAGGTAGAGGCGCCTCAGGTTGGTGAGGTCTCCAAAGGCGTGGTCTTGGATCATGGAGATGCGGTTGTTGCCCAGGTGTAGGAGGTCAAGCCCCGTGGCCTCCAGGAAGTCGCTCCTACGTACCACGGCGATGTAGTTTTCCGTCAGATACATTTTCTTGGGGTTGTAGGGCTTGGGCTGCAGCTCTGCGATGCTCTCGATCTTTCGCTCCTGGCAGTTGACGTTGAGGCCCAGATCGGAGATTTGCAGATTGCAGTAGCACTGGGTGGGACACTCCAAAGGCACAGGAGATTTGGTCTGGTAGGCGATGCTGGGTCCAGAATTGCTGTAGCTCAAGTCCTTGAAGGGCTGCCTAGAGGTGGGGCGCACCCTGGGCTTATTGGGTTGGCGGGTCCCTTTAGGGGTTTTCAAGGGGGGTTTGTAAACAGCGGAGGAAGAAGTGGCCACGGAATTCACCGAAGCCGGAGTGGTGTGTAAATACCCCGTGGTGCTCAAAGGCGTCTGAGGCCTCATCTCATAGTCGGAAATAAGTTTCCTCGGGCAGAGTTCCTGCTTGGACACCTCGTCCAAGTCCCGGCCATGCAAGCGGAAGGGAGTCTCACACACTACATCCCCCACCAGGGCCGAGTAGGAGATGCTATCCAACCAATCCTTAAGAGAGATCAGCTCACAGGAGCAATTCCAGGGGTTTTCCTCCAGCTGTAACTCCACAACTTTATCCATGTGCTGCAACAGCCCCACATAGGGCAGAAGTTTCAGCCGGTTTCCCCGCAGGTCCAAGTGCGTTAAGGGCACAAAACGGAAAAGGTTGTTGGGTAAACTGGACAAGAGATTGTCATTTAGGATAAGCACCTGCAACAAATGCAGTTTTCCAAAAGCATTGGGTTCAATGACACTAATGTAATTATAGTCGACCTGTAGGTACTCCAGGCTCTCCAAGCCAAGGAATATATCATCACGCAAAAGTTCCAGTTTATTATTGTTCAAATGCAGTCTCCTTAAACCCCGCAGCCCATGGAAAGCCCCTGTCTCAATGTCCTGGATGACGTTGCTACCCAGATGCAAAATCGAAGCCCCAGTGTAATTGACAAACTCATTGGGATAGAGACGGTTCAAAAGGTTTCCAGACAGCAAGAGGTGGTAGACTGGGAAACGGGGCGGGCTAATTTCAGAGAGACTGATGATCCCTCGGTTTTCACAGCTCACAGTTAAAATGCCGTCCTTTTCCTCACAAGGACATGCATTGTCACAGATTTCCCCATAATAATCGATGGTTTCTGCACACGAAAGGACGAGAGATGTTAGAGCAAATGCTAGAGTCTGCAGCATCCAGCTATGCATTTTTCTGTGAAGGTCCTGTTCCAAAGTTACTGGGGGGCAGCAAGTGTGCATTTTACCTCCTGCAAGGGAGACAGGAAACAACAGAATGTGACAAAAATGTAAGGGATCAGTCAGAAAGTGTCTCCTCCCTATTTCTCTGAAATTCAGTAGGAGGGGCTAGGAGTGACCCCCTCCCCAACATGGGCATCCTCCAGATTTGATTAACTGCTGATATTTATTTTCATTTAAAGGTTGCTTTCATTTCCTAAGGAGTACAACAGGACATGCTGCTCTTTACAAGAGAAGGGCCGGTTAGAGAAAGTCCTATTTTAGTTCTCTTCATCCCCCCCTTTCAAAACCAATCCATAAATATACATAAAATGGCTGTCAGTTCAGTTTCACGGTTCTGATTTAAGAGAAAAGAAGCACCGTTTTACAAGGTTCCCCACCTCACCTACACTCAGCCCCTCTGCCTTTCTTTGAGAAGCTCTTCAGTTCATAGTGAAAGTCTCCCATTTTCACAGAAATGCAAGGAGCCACAATACTTGGGCTATTTTAAACCATCGCTGCAAATGCCAAGGTGGGAACCTAAAGAATACTTTTCAGAGGCAAAAAAGATGTGAGATAATGCACCAAAAGGACCCAGAAGAAACTCTTAAATCACCAACTGTCTTCAGGAGCTTTGGAGAAAAAGGAGACGGCGTTCGCTTTGATGGTGGACTTCACTACCACGCTATTCAGCAAGCACATCAGCAGCCTAATTGCATGCACAGAGCCACTTAACAGTAAGAGTGCGCCCTGCGTCCACTTCTCCTCATTGATCATGTCAGCGACGCTACCAAACCGCGTCTTTAAGCCACTAAAAGAGTTCTGCACGATGGATTACAAAGAGCTCTGCGAAGGCATCCGCAATCCCGGAACACCTTTCGATACCCGGAGTTTAAAGAGGACGGTCCAACTGTTTACTGGGCATCAGCTAAAAGTAAGCCAAGGACCACCGCCAAAGCCCCCTTTCCCTCGGGCTACAAGTCTGTTGGCTACGGTATGCAAAACTAACCCTACTGAATTAACAAGATTTGGACTGAACTACCACCGCATCAGCATCCCCATCTCTGGAGTTGCTTCTTACATTAATTGCCAGTGCTTTACTACTCCCTCTCCCCGCCCCCCCCCGCCCCCGCTTGGGGAAAGGGCACTCGGATGGATTAAGAAGCAAAAAAGTGGAAGTAAGGGAATGACATAGGTCAGTGCTTTAATATCTGAATTTCATCCCCCTGAGGAATCAATCTGATCCCCTCCCCCCTTTTTTTCTTGCTTTCTTTTCAGGCTTTAAAGGCTTCCCTTTAAAGGCTTCCTTCGACTTCCTACTTCCCCTGGACAGCAGCACTCATAAAAGAAAGGACATGAATGTAGCGAGTGTGTGACTGCGTGTAAGTGCGTGTTCTTGGTTGGAGGGAGGGAACATTTGGTGGAAATGCTCTGCTCCGGGAACCAATGCCTTTCCTCTGGTCAACCTTATCTTTGCCACAGCACCAACGAAGTCTAGTGGCGAATCGCAACCCAAAACTAAAGCCAAGACGTTTCCGAGTCACGGGTTCAAGCCTGGAGACCTAGACCTGGATCTCCGAGTGGAATTCCGCCCGTGTTACTAAGAGCCCCCGCATTCGCACGCACATGTGCAAGTGTGCCTGCGAATCACACACGTGTGGCCACCAGACGTGTCGAGATGAACCGGAATCACAGTGTATAAACCTTGCAAATATCCCCGACCTTCCAACGCAACGGCAAACACCTCCAGGCTTCAAAGCGGCAAAATACCCACTAGGAAAGCAAAATGTTTACCTTGAAATTTCGGTTCTCAGCTGGATCAAATCTGCACATCCATTCAGCCCGGGTTCAGTCCCCTCCCCCTCCCTCCCGGCGCTTCCCCGCCCCCATTCTCTTCCCACCCGTACTGACAGCCCATTGCAAATTGTGTCCAGCCGGTATTAAACTCGAGCGTCTACAACTTTAATTCAGTACTGGTTAGCCAGGGTCCAAGAGCTTCCTCTCACTCCACTCCCTTTCCCCTCCTCCTTGCCAGCAAAGGAGCCTAAAAAATTTGAGAAAATAAAGTTGAATGAACGGGGAAGGCTGACATTCTGACTCGGAAACACACCTTCGATGTGAAATCGCGGGTGCGCTGCACATTCTCAGATTATGAACCTTTTTTTTTTTTTTTTTTTTTTTTTTTTTTTGTGGAGGGCAGGGGAACTGTATTTGCTTTTCACCAAAGAATTTAGACCCTGGATAATCGCCCTGCACATCCCCATTAAGCAACTTGGGGCCGGGAGGGCTGGAGCCCAGCACCGAGGCCGGACCCGCGGCTGAGGGCACAACTGCTCCCACAGGGGCCCAGGCAGAAGCACCCGGAGTTCCAGGACGCGAGGCTCCCCTCCCCCACCCCGCCCCAAAGCTAAGGAAGGCGAAGAGGAGGGAGGAGAGGAAAAGAAAGCCACCCGCCCCGCGGCCACACACACACACACACACACACACACACACACACGAGCCTCTTTTGCAAAGTAAACGGCCGACTTACCCCGTCTCACATCTCCAGGGCACACTCATCGTCGCCACCCTTAAAAAAATACCTCTTTGGGGTGTGCTCTGGGTTTCTCAAGCCCGAGCAGGGCGAGGAGGCAGCGAGCGGTGCAGTCCGCGCGGCTGGAGGAAAGGCGCCCGGACGTCGCCTGCCCGGGGCCGCCGCCGCGGTGGCGACCGCGGGTTCTGGGGCTCCCCGAACGGCTCTCCCCGGCGCTCTCCGCAGTAGTCGGAGTGGGCAGGGGGGCTGGGGGTAAAGGGGGGCGATCGCGAGCAGCAGGCGGAGAAAGGCGGGGGAGGGGGCGGCGGAGGACCTGCTGTAGGGGCGCCTCGCGCTGAGGGTAGAGAACAGGGGCCGGGCGGGGTGGGAGGAAGCCGATGGAGGAGGGGGCGCGGAGCAGGCTGCCTGGCACCGCCGGCACCGCCAACGTGACGGCCAGCCCCGCCGAGTGCTCGCACCCGCTCACACTCACTCGAACACTCGCTCCCACCCGCGCCAAAGCACGATCGCGGGGTCCCCGGCACCCTTCACCGCGCACGCCAGGCGGATACTTACAGTTGCCATCTGCATAGGGGGGCAACTTTCTCCAAGCCAGCAGCAGCCGCCGCCCCCGCCAGCCGTCTTTGGCTCCTTACACCCTTCGGCCCGGGTTCGTGCCGGCCGGCCCTCCCCTCCCCCCGCGGCTCTCCTCCCGAGTGTCTTCACCACATTCCCCCCTGGTCAGTGGCGCACGCCGGGGGTTGAGCCAGAGGGAGCGGGGCGCGGGGCTGTGCATGCATCGCCCGCCTTCTTCTTGCAGCGCACACTGTACATGGTAGTGAGGGGGCGAGCGAAGGTGGCACCGGCCCCTCGGCTGCTCCCGCGGCGGCAGCGGCTCCTGCTCCTGCACGGTCCTCCGCCCCTTACGCAGCGGCGACCACCGCGCTGGGATCCTGCCGCCGCTTCCCCCGCGCCGAGCCCGCCGCCGCGGCCCCTACTTAGTATTTGTACGGCTCCCGCATCTTCTTGGCGGTTTCAGCGCTCCTGCTGTGTGCAAAGGGTTTTCTCTCTCCCTCTCCCAGCGGCAGCCCACGATCGTCATTATTTGGAACTCTCTATCTCCGACATCCTTTGGGGGGTCTTGGGGGACAGGAACAGCCTTGTTCTACGCCTGCGGCGTGTCCCGGCAGCCCGGCGACTCTAAAAAACTCAGCGAAAGTGGCTCATTCCCCCCGGGCGCCGAGGAGGTAGCAACGCGGTAAGCATCGCCGGGGTCTCTGAGACAGCTGCTCCGGTGCCGGCGCAGGGCCCCGTCCAGTGCACTTGTTTATTGTCGCGCGGCTGGTGCGAGCCAAGCTGCAGCAGACATGATGGGCCCGGGATGAAGCGGTCGCTCCGCGGCCGATAGATGGCAGCCGAGGGCGGAGGCGCTCTGGCGGCGCTACCGAATCCCCCCTTGGATGTCACATTCGCGGGAGACCGAGGAGTCTTGGACCATGTGCCTAACACGAACGTGGGACCGTGCAATCCTCGGACTGAACAAGGAAGGAGTGGAGATAACCCCGACAGTGCCGGGCTTGCTGGTGGTCGGGCAGAGTGGCTCCAGCCCGGTGCTGAACGCCTGCCTTCCCCGGCTCGTTAGAGTGATACAGCCCCTACTGCCGTCTCCTGTGCGCTCCTGTGAAGGGCCCCGGAAGAGGCAGTGGTTCATCCTCGCTGCACACAAGGGCGCTGTTTTTTTTTAATTGCTTTTTATAGGTATGTCTGGGCGATACAAGGGAATGTGAACGATTTCCAGAGAGTCTTTCTGAATACATTTGGTGTGTATTAAAAAGCTGGAAAACCGTAAATAAATGCGGTATCGATAGAAAGCGAGTTTCTTGAAGAGTCACCTGCTAAACTCCACTAAAGTCATCTCTACAGTAAGTATTCCTGGCTCTTTCCATGAAACCAGACACCGCCTTCCCCAAAAGGGGGTCTTCATATCCATAAGATATGTATTTCCAATATTTGTAATATTAAACCTGCAGTACAGCCCAGGTATAGGGAAAAAAAAAAAAGTTGATCGTGAGTGACCCAATGCAGGCTGAGTGCACACGTGCTTGTTGTCTTTGTAACTGGGTAGTTTTACCACTTAAATATTTTTTAATAAATTTTATTTTGGAATGAATTGTGTAGTATGTTTTGGAATAATCTTAAACATGATTGATATTGTCTCCTTGGTTACATTTCTGGGTATTATTGTGGTCAATATCTTGATTAAATGCAGGGTTAACCTAGATTCTGATATCTTTAGCCGCAAGCATCTTCCGCATCCTCTGTCTATACTGAGTTAGATGTCTTCTAGAGGCGGTGAACATTGCCGTCTCCTGAGGTTTTGCAATACTTCTTGAAATCTCTTCTGACTCTGTTCTCCAAATATAGTTAAGCCATACATAGTTTGCTGAAAACAATTTTGCTTATTTTGTTTAAATTCGTGACATCTACGGGAGAGAGAAAAGAAGCAATCTGT